AATTAAAGTATATAGAAAAATGGGAAAGGGACTTAGGAGTGGAGTGGGAAGAGCACACACAGAGGAAAATATATAGAATGGTACACGAAAATATTAGCATGTGTGAGGTGGAAATGAATTTTAAATGTCTGACAAGGTGGTATGTTACACCGATGATAGAGCACAAGATGAGTGAGGAGAAGCAACCTTGGTGTTGGCGAGGGTGTGGAGGGTTGGGCACGATGTACCACATATGGTGGGAATGCTTAAAAATACAAGAATATTGGAAAAAAGTTATAAATCAAATTAGGATTATTACTGGAATGGAGATCGGACTGGACCCTGAAACCTGCCTTTTTCATAATTCAACAATAGCTGGAAGCAAATATAAAGAGCTGGGTATATGGTGCTGCCTAAATGCAGCAAAAAAGTCTGATTCCCAGGTTTTGGTGCAAAGTTGAGGCACCGAGAGAAGAGGGATTGGATGAATAGAGTAGACCAGATTGCTAGATTGGAAAAACTTTATTATACACAGGAAGATAGAATGGTGGCATATTATATGAAATGGGAGGAGTTTAAGTCTAAGGTAAAGGTAAAAGAAGGTACTGAGTAAATAAACGTAAAGAAGAGAGAAGGAGAGAACGAGAAGACAGGAGGGGAAAAGGGGAAAGGAAGAGGAAAGGGAGAAAATATAGTAATGCGTCACTTTCGTTTTTTCTTTTTTTTTCCTTTTCTTCTTTCAAATCTTTGTATCCAGAAGATGTGAGAGGTTAGTCGAGTAGATAGATGTCAGGGGTTTAAAGAAATAGGGTGGGGTGGAGGGTGGGCCGAAAGGAAGGGAATTAGGGGGAGAAAATGATACGAAATAAGTGTTTTTATGAGATCCTGTTATGTTGTACTTTTATTGTGGAATTTTGTATTGATTTATCTGAAAATGAATAAATATTTAAATTATAAAAAAAAAAAAAAAAAAAACTACAAACCTACCAAGAGCATTAATCAGAGAAGGAGCTAAGCGGCCCATGATAACTCTGGAGGAGCTGCAGAGATTTTTCATTGTAGCATGATAAAATGTGGAAAATATCAAGGGGTATGAATACTTTTTCAAGGCACTGTATGAGCAATTGCAAATTAATGATTAAACACTTTGCTACCACAGACATTTTGTTTTTTCAGTTATTGCACACGTTTAAAATGCACATTTTAGTTCCAGAAAATTACTTAACTCCTCTAAACATGATATAGTTCTGAAAGTAAAGTCCCTGAAGAATAAACTGGCATTAGCTGCAATTTTTTATGTCACATGACATTAGTACAAATTTTCAGTAAAAATTAAAATGGTTAATTTTAGTGTACAGGAACACAATATATTACTCTTTTTTCGGTAAAATTTAAAATACAAGGTTGTGACAAGTAAATGGATACCCAACATGTCAAGCCTTAAAATTGCGCATGCCCCTTTACATAGTTAGTCTGGCTGAAAAAAAGAAGACCATCCAGTTCAACCATAAAAAATAAAAGTTATAATCCTATACCCACAGTCCACAGTTAATCGAGGGGAAGGCAAAAAACTCAGCAAAGCATGATCCAATCTACCCTGCAGGTGAAAAAATATCTTCCTGATCACCTGAGAGGCAATTGGATATTCCCGGGATCAACGTTACCTATAAATGTTAGTATCCAGTTATATTCTGTGTATCTAAAAGAATCCAGGACTTTTTTAAAGGAATCCACGGAGCTGGCCAGACCCAACTCTTGAGGGAGTCTATTCCACATTTCCTTATTTTGGAGATTACATTTATTTTCCTCCAGTTACAAATTTAAGTACTCAAAATTTTCCACATGTAATGCTTTAAAAGCCTCTACAGATTCTCAGTTTAGGCCTGGCTTACATTAGTGCATCTTCAGATGCGACTTGAGTCATATAGAATTGCATGAAAATGGAAATCACCTTGTTTTCAATGGTGTCCATTCACATCAATGCAACTTAGCATGGAGCACTTTTGGAAGATGTTTCTGTGCTACTTTGGTGCATTTCCTTTGTGTTTTAAACCCTATAGAATATGCAGATCTTATCCAAATAGCACTATATAATCGCACTGAAAGTCCAAACAAAATCTGATTGCAGCAGTGTAAACCTAGCTTTAGTGATAAGCATGAGTGAGGGTCAAAGAATTGTTGCCGTGCTCCATGCATGGCACAATGTGTTTTTGTTTTTTTGTTAAAACAACTGTGCCACACAAGTGAAGTATTACAACGAATGTCAGAGAGAGAGCCATCATTGTATGACCATCACTTGTAGTTAACTCTAAACTAATAACCTGAAGGCCCACAGCTGACTTAAATTTCAACACATTTTTAAAAAATAGCACGTTTAAAATCTTGTGCTACCAGCCAGTGTTTTTTTTGTTAATCTGCCTTTCTGTAATGAAAAGTTAAAATAATAGCAGACCTCTAAAACAAGCCTAATCCACCGAATAACATTTTAGATGGTCTGAAACCTTTAAAAAAAAAAAAACTTTATGCTGTTCTTTTCCTCAACATGTCACAGCTGATTATTCTGAACATGGAAAAGCAGCTCTCTTTCCATTGATAAGTGGAAGCTTTTCACGCTCTACTTCACTATGAGCCATGCTGTCAGTCAGTATCATGGCATCAGACACGGAGTTTGTAAATATAGCAGTCCCTAGTGTATTTCTCCTTCCTCTATTGAAGGACACAAATTCAGAAACGATTGGGTTATACTGCCAGCTGAAGGAAGGTAGGACACTGGCAAAAAAGAAAAGCTGTAAGCCCCTATATAATCCCTCCTCTACCCAGCATGCCTCTGACTTTTTTTTTTTTTTTTTTTTAGCAGAGCTGAAGGGAAAGCGTCCAACCTTCTAGGACACTAGCAAAAAAAAAAAAAAAACAACATCACTTCATGCTAGCCTTCCTTGCTTCAAGGTTTTTTTTTTTATCCTTTGACTTCGGTCAAGAATCTATAATACACTGCTGCTTGAGCAAGTCTCTATAAAGCAACTTTCCAGATAAAAATTTCCTCTGCATTAGCTTTGGAGGCCATACCTAGTCCCCACTGAACTAGACATGTGGAGCTAGCCTGGATTATGACTTTTGAGCACAGCACTTTGCATTGTGATGCTTTCTAAACCTTTGTGCATTTTGTTAGCTGCAGTACGTTTTCAGGTCCAGAGCCATGGCGCAGTCACAGGTGCATTCCTGGGTGCCTTTTTAAAAGCCCACATCCTGCTTTTGAAGTGACACCCTGAGTCTTCAGGTTAATGGGGTGGTCTTTACCCTCCACCCTGAGGGAACTCTACGCTGAGGTGTGTCCCCATGTCTTGGGATTGAGTCTGGTTGAACAGAACACTGAGCCAGTTCCTTGATCTAGACTCCATTTAACATCACTTAGGTTCAAGATCTTTACCTTCTAGGGAGCTTTGACAGGATGAGTGGCCTGTTTCCCATACACTGGACGATGTTGAGGATGCTGCTCTCAATTGCACAATTTTTCTTAGAGACACTACTTCTCATCAACCAGTAGTCTCAATTCTGGCAAGAGGCTTGTGCACTTGGCTGTGCCCAATCTTCTGCATGGCACAAAGAAACCATCGCTGTTGGACCATTTCCCCAGATTGTCAGCACACACTGAAATCCTGGTGCAGACATTTTTGGAAGCCACTCACATGGAGTTAGGTGCTTATTGTGTAGCTAATCCGCATTCTCTTGAGAAGGAGGTCTCATGATAAAATGCCTGGCATTGGTGGAACCTGCCAGAAGTGACATATGCAGATTGTAGAGGATGGAAAGAGTGGTTGGGTGCTATTGTTTGAGGTAAGTACACACTATATGGGAATATGTTTTTTTCATTTTTACATTTCAAAGATTTACAGCAACCTAAAGGGGGTGAATCTTGATCATCCTGTTGCTTTTCTGGGGTTATGGTACATCTTTATTTCTGCCTACCTCTTGCACACCCTACCTTCACTATCCAGTCATACTGAGGTTTAGGCTTGATACATCTAGGTCTGTTATCAGTCTTGGGTCTTGACTATTCCTTTAGGATAGTACACTGAGGATGCTTACTATATTGAGTATCTCATTGAAAGATTGGTTGTCTGGCCAGGCATCCTCACTCCCATTTACCCTATAACATTCCTTTTCAGAGTTTCAAGGGTCAGAAGTTTAAGGCTTGGTCCTTTTGCTTGTAAACCAAGTGGTCATCTTCTGTGGACCTGCTTTTATCCAATGTTCCCTCTGGAGTTCCATTTAACTTTCTTGGTGTGGAATCGGTGTACTTTCAGGTGAAGTTGTTCTCCTTATTGTTGATCTTGTCTATCCTGGTCTTTAGAGCATCAGGTTCACTCTCTGTGGCATTCCCTTGGTCATTAGCAGACTCCCTTGTCTTGCAGGGGACTTTACCTCGTCTGTCTGGTTGCCCTGTATTGCAGATGGTTCTTGGTTCCAGATCTGATCTGCATGCATTGTTTGCTGGCCCTGTGTATTGCTTTCACACAAAACTGACCTACTCTGACACTCGGCTACACCTTCTTGGTGGAAATCCCTCCTTTCTTGCCCTTGCTCCTTTCTTTAATCTAATCTCTCTCCCTTATCCCCTTACCCCTATCTGATGTTCTTCTTTTACACCTTTTCCTTTGCTGTTCTATGTAATCTAAGTGAATTCTTCAACCTACAGAAATGGCCATCCTACATATTCCCAACAGTAACACTTCTGCTTACTGCTATATTTCTTTCATTCCTTGCATTTTAGGATATGATCATAATCTCTTTCCAGAACTATGGGGCATACGTCAGGTTTGGTTTGTATATACAGTACAGCTTAATTACCGGAAAGGTCCCAGGCAACTACTCTAACGAGATGCCATCTTTTGACCAAACCCTTCAGGCAGTCATGGGCTACTAGTTGGGACCCAGTTCTAGATGTGACCTTTTACTTCTGTTTAAAGAAAATCTGGGATACTTCCTGCCATGTTTTTCACTTACCCATGTAAGTCACTTACCCAGCTGAACAGTGCTGCTCACTCTCTGATGTACATAAGCACTTAGGATAGACTTGTCATACAGTCTCCTTGCATGAACATCTTTCACCATATCCCAGACATTATATAGAGGCCTCTTGATGACTCCAGCTCCAATAAAGCCATGCTTTGTTGGAGATGAGAAGGCCTTGTAGTATACCAATACATCCTTCTCGGTTCCCTGGTATCTGTAATAAACACCAAAGCAATACATACAATGACATACAAAAGAACAAACCAATCTCTGTAGCTCCTATTTTTAAATTGTCAAAATAGAGCCTCTCAAAACAACATACAACATTTTTCAGGTTCAGATCCAACAAATAAAATCCTTGAAACTTCACCACATGTATTTTTTTCCATAAAGAAAATAGTGGGGAAGTCGCCTGTATAATGAAATATATTAAACAACCCACAATAAAATCATGGCTAGCTGCGTAAAGCAGGGGTGCTCAACTTGTGGCCCACGATTTCATGCTCTCGGATGGCGGGTCAACAAGCCCAGATCGCGGGTTGCCCATCCGCCATCTCAGAGCATCAGAGTGCATGGTGCCGGCAGCGGAGTGAGCAGGAGATGCATAAGCTGATGCTCCCTCTGTAGGGCCAGCTCCTGTCCCAGGCGGAATGACACCAAGTGCACTGCGCCTGGGACCTTTGTAGCAGCATGGAGAGTGATGCCAGCAGAAGCTAGAAGAGAGAAAGGTCAGTTTATTAAACAAACATCTCATGCAATCACCATATTAGCACTTTTAAAAAAGGATTAGTAGGCTGCTTTCACACAGATCTGCAGGTGCAGCACAGTGTACCTACGGCTTTCCTGCAGGTTAGCTGCACTGAGCTATAATATTGACACTATGATGCAGCGCTAAATATACAGCTGGCTGGTGGATATATCCACCCTATATATTGGATAATAGTAAGTTACATATAAACCATACAATTTTCTATATATGGTGTTAGATCTAATCGGATCTGATTCGGTGATACACAAGTGATAATCAGTGCAGAGTAAGAGGTTCTATAGAACCTGTATAGGTGGTATAAATTTGCTTCCCATCTAGGGATTGATTATAGCAGAAATGAACGTGATTACAACCACAGTGAATCTCTATACAGGGATAAAAACTACCACATAGGTGATACGTGCTATGACCCGTATTAAAACAAACCACAATAACACATAAAAGTCCATATGAAACTTTCAAACTGCTGCATGGTTGCTCCAGCCATGCATTTTCATGTGTGCTCCTGTGTTTGGTGAGACAGTGAAATGAGAATCCTACACAGCAGGGCACATTAAAACAACCACAATAACACATAACAGTCCATATGAAACCTTCAAACTACTGCTTGGTCACTCCAGCCATGCGTTTTCATGCATGCTCCTGTGTTTGGTGAGAAAGTGAAGTGAGAATCCTAGACAGCAGGGCGCATATGACCCGTATTAAAACAAACCACAATATCACATAAAAGTCCATATGAAACTTTCAAAACTGCTGCATGGTCACTCCAGCCATGCGGTTTCATGCGTGCTCCTGTGCTTGGTGAGAAAGTGAAGTGAGAATCCTACACAGCAGGCATGCATGCTCACCTTCCCACTGCGACCCGCTAGGGCCACAATGCCTTTTGGATCACCCTGGATCCTGCTCGCAGTCTCCGGGTGGGACAGGCTCCACAGCCCCTGCTGGTCTCTCCTTCACTCCCTCTTATACCTCCATCCACAGGCGTCAGTATGTAAGCTCATTAAAGCACAACATATGGGACCATAAAAAGAAAGACTCCATAGTGTAATACTGTTATTTATTGCTAAAATAGGATACAAATCGCCAAAATGTCCACTCACATTTCTGTAGAAATCAACAGGCTTTTTTCCCCACTAACATGGGTGTAATGGATGCACCCTGGTGTACCAAGATGGCGCCTACCGGAAGTGCATCACCATGCCGCCTCTACGCCTTCCTGAGGAAGCCACGTGGGCGTGGCGTAATGCGTAGAGGCGACGCCATGCAGCAGTTTGAAAGTTTCATATGGACTTTTATGTGTTATTGTGGTTTGTTTTAATACGGGTCATAGCACGTATCACCTATGTGGTAGTTTTTATCCCTGTATTCACTGTAGTTGTAATCACGTTCATTTCTGCTGTAATCAATCCCTAGATGGGAAGAAAATTTATACCACCTATACAGGTTCTATAGAACCTCTTACTCTACACAGATTATCACCTGTGTATGACCGAATCAGATCCGATTAGATCTAACACCATATATAGAAAATTGTATTGTATGGTTTATATGTTACTTACTATTATCCAATATATAGGGTGGTTATATCCACCAGCCAGCTGTATATTTAGCGCTGCATCATAGTGTCAATATTGTTTATATCCATCTTGAGGGGATGTTTGTGCTCCCGTATAGACTTGTATAGCAGCGCAGGAGGACCCCCAATTATAATATTTGCACTGCGTTATAGACTTCTATTATATCCTGTGGGTTTATTGCTTTCTGAAAGCGCACCAAAACTCCAGAATGCAGGCGTTTTGGTGCGCTTTCATAAAGTGCACCTCACATGCAAGGTATAGTAGAAGTTTGTGGCAAAGCGCAGCTAACCTGCAGGACCGCCGCAGGTGCACTACGTTGCATTCGCGGTGCAGGTAAACTGCAGCTCATCGGTGTGAAAGAAGTCTTATAGGGGGGGGGTCAGGACAGTAAGGGCTCATTTACATTTTTGGCAGTGGTAAAACCCCATAGCTGAGATGTGTTTTTACTACATTCCCCAACCCCTAGTGTAGCATCAGGGCTAGCAATGGCAACCCCATCCCATGCTCCAGGGTGCCTGTGCGATTTCACTTCAAAAGGTTGAACTCCCCTGGCATAAAGCATACCAGGATAGTCATACCTATATATAAAACTTCATCTTTTATTTACTCAACATCCACAATACAACAAACAGTTTTAAATTCTAGGCCAAGGAAAAATACAATATTGAATAACTACAAAGGAGATTGAGGCCGTTTTATAGTATTTGGTATCGCTAGACATATTTAATCTGCCCAGTAACAAAAACCAGACAGCAAAAAAAAAAATACAACACTGCTAACCCTGGTGGATGTACATGTACAGCGGGTAAAATAAGTCTTGAACACGTCCCCATTTTTCTCAGTAAATATATTTCTAAAGGTGCTATTGACGCAAAATTTTCACCACATGTTGGTAACAACCCATGCAATCCACACATACAAAGACCAAAACAAATAAGTTCAGAAATTAAGTTATGTGTAATAAAATGGAATGACAGAGGGAAAAAGTATTGAACACATGAAGAAAGGGAGGTGTGAAAGGGCATGGAAAGTCAAGGCACCAGCTGAAATCTGTCAGTAAGTAGAAAGCAATCTTGCCCCTTGTCAGTGCAAATTAATATCAGCCGGTTCAGTCTCAACTGATGGCCTATTAAAAGGTGTCTCATTACAAAGGTGTCACACAAGAAAATCTCATGATGGGTAAAAGCAAAGAGCTCTCTCTCTCAAGACCTTTGCAACCTTATTGTTGCAAAACATACTGATGGAATTGATTACAAAAGGATTTCAATGTCAATAGCAACTTTAGAAATATAAATGGTGATGTGTTCAATACTTATTTTACCCACTGAATCCCTCATACACATATGTATAGAAAAGAATGACCCTACTTTAAAATAATCACATTTTGTTACTTTGCAGCCTGAAATGAAGACAGACATAGTTTTTGTTTTATCCAGCTGTATGTGCAACACAATATCCAAGTGAAAGATATCACAAACATGTCATAAAAAAAATTGAAAAACAGAATCACAGAATTGGAAAAAGGATCACCCCCTTGTGTTAGTATTTTTACCTTTCGCTTTAATTACCTCCTTTAGTCTGTTGGGATATGTCTCTACTTCCCATCTAGACTTTGCAATATTTGCCCACTCTTCTTTGCAGAACTGGTCAAGTTCAGTTAAATTTGATGGTGACCTTTGTGGACTGCACTCTTTAAGTCATTCCACAGATTTTCAACGGGGTTTAAGTCTGGGCTCTGACTAGGACATGGAAGGACATTCACCGTTCTCTCCCTTCAACCTCTGTGTGGACATTTTTGCTGTGTGCTTTGGGTCATTGCCATGTTGGAAGGTAAACCTTCCCATTGACAACTTTCTGGCAGAGGGCAGCAGATTTTTCTCAAGAATGTGATGGTATTTTGCCCCATCCATTTTTCCTTCTATCCTGACAAGTGCTCCAGTCCCTGCTGCAGAGAAATAACCCCATAACAGCATATTACCACCTCCATGCTTTACTGTAGCAATGGTGTTAATTGGATGGTGAGCTGGATTTCTGCCAGACATATTGTTTAGTATTGAGGTCAAATGATTACATTTTAGTCTCATCTGACCAGAACACCTTTTTCTATGTGGCCTCAGAATCTTCAAGGTGCGTTTTGCCAAAGCTCAGGTGTAACTGAATGTGGCGTTTCTTGAGGAGTGGTCTTTTTCTTGCAACCCTCCCATACAAGCCCCATTTGTGGAGAATTTGTGACATTGTTTTTCACATGCACACAATGGCCACTATTTGTCATAAATTCCTGCAATTGCGTCGGAGTTGATGTAGGCCTCTTGGTAGACTTTCTGACCAGTTTCCTCCCGACTCTTTCATCCACTTTGGAGTGACAATCTGATCCAGGGAGGGCCTGTGTTTTACCAAATACCTTCCACTTCCTAATAATAGACTTCACTGTGCTTCTAGACATTGATAAGGCCTGTGAATTTTTTTGTATTCATCTCCTGACTTGTGTCTGTCCACAACTTTATCCTGGAAATCTTTTGACAATGTCTTGCCACCCATAGTTGACTGTTTGCTTAAGTTGCACTACAAGGGACTGAAATGCTCCAGGAAAGCCATTTTCAAGCTGAGCTAATCAAAATGGCCACAGCTGATCACAGTTGAAAGTCAAATGGCTTTGTGTGCCATTGAGAAGGTGATTAGCTACACCTGATTGAGTTTCCAAATAATTTTTAGGAGAGGGTGATTCTTTTTCCAACTCAGTTATTCTGGTTTTGCATTTTTTTTTCTTTATTTCTTTCTGACATGTTGGTGTTTTATGTTTCACTTGGATGCTATAAGTTGAGTAAATACAGTTGGATAAAACGAAAACTGTGTCAGTCTTCATTTCAGGCTGCAAAGCAACAAAATGTGATTATTTAAAAGGGGGGCGATTCTTTTCTATACCCATTGTAATATCATATCATTACGTATCCCTCCATAAAGGCCGCAATTAGTGTATATGGCATCCAAGAATATTGTTCTGTGGAAATTTTAAAGTATCAACATATAGATAAATCCATCAATGGCACACCACACCACCTTAGTTCCTAAATAAATTATAGTCTATACATCAATTGATGGTAATTGTTCATCTCTCCATGCAGTCCATATGAAGATTTAAGAGTAGTAATCAGTATAACAGAGAACCTCATGTCATCATAAAGGTACACATCTTCACTGTGACAAGCTCCAGTTATATAAATCCAAAGATAATCAAAAAATACATAGGTCCAGTGATCTGGCCAAAACTCGACTCAATAGAGGAGACTGGCTCTGCATCCAGACCAGGGGCGGACTGACCATTTGGAGGGCCGGGGTCAGTAGGGGGCCCCATGAGATGCCCCTGGTACATTTTTCATAGGCTTTTTTGAGTTTGGGCAAGGACACAGATGCCCCATGATCCCCTATTGCCCTGGGGGCCCCATGAGGTGTCAGTCTGCCCCTGATCCAGACTATACCCCAGACACGAGATCTGCATACCAAATGTAATGCAATGCAAGTCCCCATTCAAGATGTAGTGAGCATAGAGGCTAATGGACATGTAAAGTTGTCATTAATTGGCCATCAGATATTGCTATATTGATGTATGGCATATAATTTATTCAAGTTTGGTGTGCAGTTACTGGATTTATCTATACAGTAACACTTTAAAGGATAAGTTCACCTTTTGGACAAAAATAATAAATGCAAATTTTTTTTGCATGTTAAAAAAATGTGCATTTATTATTTTGTCCAAAGGAGCCTGTAAAGCATTGCACCAGCGATCAGTAGATCGCTGATGCCATGCAGGTCTCCTGCAGACCTGTCAGAATGTCTGCTTGCTGTACGGGATGTACGAACAAGCGGATATACTGACAGGAAGCGTCAATGAACTGCCACGGCGCTCCACAGCACAATGGTAGTTCATTTAAAACTATGGGACTTGTAGGCATTCATTCACAGAACACTGTGAATGAGTGACGCGGCCGTGTGGGCGGAGCACGGCCATGCTGTTTTCAAGTCTGACAGATAGTACGGGGAGAACTGTCCCCGCACTATTAGAGGGGAGGGGTGCCGGCGGCTGCGGCTATGAGAACGTTACATGTTCCAAAGGTGAACTTATCCTTTAGGGTTGGATTACATTATAGAAACGCAGTCCAGATGCATTTCTGCATGCACGTGTTTGACGCGTTCCTGTGCGGTTTTTTTTATGCATTCCAGTTCATTTTTTCACAATGTTTGTAGAAGCAGTCTGCATGTCTAGGTGCTTGATTTTATACACCTGTGGCCATGGAGGTGTTTGGGACACCTGGAAAATGTCCCAATACTTTTGGCAATGTAGTGTATATAGCGTGTTACCATGCACACATCCACTGTGTTATAATGTAATGATGTGCATTATATCATACACATGGCATAAATGACCCTCCTAAACCAGCCCTTTTGTAGCTGCAGGTACAGTGGAGCTATTAATCCTTAACCCCTCCCAGCTGGCTGTACATATATATCTGGCAGCAGGGTCTTAAAGCTCACCTTTGTGCTGCCACATACACTGATCAGCAATAATATTATGAACATTGACAGGTAAAGTGGATAACATTGATAATCTCATAACACCTGAAAGTGGGTGGGATATATTAGACAGCAAGTGAACATGTCGCTCAAGTTGCTATGTTAAAAGCAGAAAAAATGGGTTAAAGACTCACTTAAGTAGGTTTAATGTATATATTTAAAAAATACATTTTGGCTTTGTGAGATTCATTCAATAATGCTTTCATCTGCTTTGCTCTCTAGCTGTAAGGTGTCAGTGTATACAATATGTGATCTGCAAATGACTAAGTGAAAGAGGAGCTGAAGAAGACAAGAATGTGTAATAACTTACATCCAGCCTGCTGCTGCCTGGCCATTAAACAGGTTCTTTGTGTCATACGAACAAGCAGCCATTACCTAGAAGAAAAATATTGGATATCAACCATCTTCCTTTAGGGGATTGAAGCCGTGCGACAGAAACAATTGAGTACTATCCATGATACTTTTTTTATTCACATTAACATACAATTTTTCAGGACAAGCGTTTGGAGTGTACCCCCTTCTTTAAAGTCCAAGCTGTACTAATGCACAAAGTTTTTAGCAGAATGTTAAAATAGGACGGTCTGAGGGTGGGGGCAGTCACAGAAGGGGTCATAAAAATGTTGGATAGTGATTTAGAAAAAACCCAGGTCTAGATTTAGGCCATTATCCTTTGTGTCACATAGAACAATCATTCCTAGTTCAAAAGTTTTCCTTTCCTGAATAGTTTTGAAATTCCCTTTACGAATTAAGACGTTAAGGTCTTCCACAGTGTGGTCTGGTTGTGAGAAATGATGTCCCACAGGTGTGCAGAAACTATCTTCCTTATGTTCCTTGATGGTGTGCCTGTGCAAGTTCATCCTTGTTTGTAAAGTCTCTCTTGTTTCGCCAACATAAGATCCTTTGCTACATTTATTTGGATGAGGTACACAACATTACTTGAGGTGCTGCTGTATGTAGGTCCCTTTTAAGTGACACTTTTTGATTGATTTGCACAGGTTGCATAATTGTTTTTTTGCAGGGTTTGCTTCCATTATTTGTGACTTCATAATCAGAATTAAGTTTCCTGCTGATTAGTTGATGTCTGAGGTTGGATGGTTGCTTGAAAACACTGGATTATGATCCCACCCAGAATTTTACTAAGCAATTAAAAGGTCTCATTAAAACACTACCAACCCACCTACATTCACAGCTTATCAGTACGACACCGGATAATCCAGAAACTTGGGACTTCTACATGCTCCCCAAGACATACAAGCAAGGAAATCCAGGCAGACCCATAGTAACAGGTATGAACAAATCTCAGGGCTTTGAGAAGAAATGTTAAAACCATGAATCATGAATACTGATAGTTTCCTGCAAGATACAGCTGATTTTCTGAACAAGAACAACATTATACAACAATTACAACCATTACAATAACACTTCTAGTCACTATAGATAAAGAATCTCTGTATAGTAACATCCCTCACAAGGATGGGTTGACTGCATGTCAAAGATTCTTATAATCCTCAGCAAACCATAAATGCAGCGCTGTGGATGTCACACACTCACTGAGTTCATTCTTACACAACTGCTTCGCTTTCAATAATGACATCTTCAATGGATGGAGACTGCTATGGGAAGTAAAATGACACCCCAGTATATAATTTATGGCTAACCTGAAGAAAAAATTCCAGAACAGCATACAACAAAAGCCATACAGATAATATCGCCATATCAATGATATTTTCATCATATGGACAGAAGGTGAAGAATACCTAAAACAATTTTACTTATTGATCAACAACTTTCACCCATCAAGCCGCACACCACAATATACAGGAAACTTACTGACAGATGCAACTATCTCCAAAGTTCTAGTTTTCACGTCCAACACACTAAAAGGGCCATCGTACACAGCCAGGCCATCAGATACCACCAAATATGTTCAGACCCAGAAGACAGAGAAACATTTCAAAACACTAGCAGACTCCTTCCATAAGAAGGGTTACAAGGACAAAACCATCAACACCAGCATAAACACAGCCTTGAAAACCTGAACAGAAAATCTACTTCACTGCAGAGAAAACAAACAAATAACCCTGTACCTCTAGTAACCACATACAATCCAGCACTAGAAGGGATAAGAAAGATAATCAAAGTTTTACAACCCATCATAACAAAGGATGAAACTAAAATATTCCAACAACCCCAATACTGGCTTTCAGACAACCACCCAACCTCAGACATAAATGAATCAGCAGGAAACGTCATTCTGATTATGAAGTCACAAATAGCAGAAGCAAACCCTGAAAACAAAAGAAAAAAGATGCAAACGGTGCAAACAAATCAATCTATCAAAAAGTGTCACACACTCAAAAAGGACGTTCAATATCACCGGATCATACAGCTGCACCGCCAGTAGTATTGTGTATCTCATCTAAGGAAATAAATGTAGCAAAGGATCTTATGTTGGCAAAACAAGACAGAAGATACACACAGGCACACCATCACAACGCATAAGGAAGATACTTTCTGCTCACCTGTGGGATATCATTTCTCACAACCAGACCACACTGTGGAAGACCTTAATATCTTAAAGGGAATTTCAAAACTATCCAGGAAGGAACATTTTTGAACTAAGAATGATAGTCCTATTTGACACGAAAGATATTGACCTGGGTTTTCTAAATCACTATCCAACAATTTTTACGACCACCTCTGTGGTTGTCCCCTCCCCACAACAAAGCCTTGTTGCTTGTGGAGTTGTATTTTTACATTTTCTCCCCAATATTAAAAGTTGTATGATTTTACACTATGGGATGTCCGTTTTTGTCTACATTTTTATGTCAATACTTGCTTTACTGCCTGTGAAGCAGAGAAGGAATTCTGATACAGCCCCTGTGGAGTTACACTGTTACCATTAGCAACACTGTTTAAATCCTGTCCTAGAACATCAGTTACCACTAGCAACGCTGCATACCTCCCTGGGAAGGATTATTGGTTACCACTACTATGTAGCACACTGGGATAGTCCCAAACAAAGCGCATAAGACCATCATAGAGATAGGTGGTCAAGGGATGACAGTGAGTGCCAGTGCATGTGGGGCACTGGTTGGAGCACAGTGGGGCATCTGTCACTCTATAACGGAGTTCACAACAAAGCATTTAGCACCTTATTCTCAGGAACTGGGACTGAATAATACTAATATAATATATGTGTATTGAATATCACAATCATATGTATATTTTATTGCACTATGTTTATTGTATGCGCGGTCCATATGGTATGGTAAGAGGCAGTATGGGTAGTAGAAAAACTGATTATAGTAAAAGGCATTTGTTCTGCCTCTCAAAGAAAAACTGCTCTGACAAATACATAGATACCTATTGCTGAACGCTCCTTTTAGAAATGCTAGTTGCCTGGGTATTTACTATGTTGATTAATAGGTATCAGTGCTTTTTAAAGCAATGCCTCAGAACTGACTTTACTAGTTGCATGTTGGTTTTATATCAACAGCTCAAAAGCAAATTCAGTTATTATTATTTATTAATTTCAGGTACTTATATAGCACCGTCAATTTACGTAGCGCTTTACATATATATTGTACATTCATATCAGTCCCTAACCCTCAAGGGGCGTAAAATATAAGATCCCTAACTCACATTCATACATTCATATACTAGGGCCAATTTAGACAGGATCCAATTAACCTAACAGCATGTCTTTGGAGTGTGGGAGGAAACAGGAGTACCCGGAGGAAACCCACGCAGGCACAGGGAGAACATACAAACTCCAGGCAGGTGGTGGCATGGTTGGGATTTGAACCAACGACCCTAGTACTGCCAGGTGGAAGTGCTAACCATTTAGCCACAGTGCTGCCCAGTTATTGACAGAAGCTGATGAATTGAGACAAGTGAAATAATAAATAAGACCACTTTTATCAAATATGGGCAGTGGGGATAAAATGTACTTCCTCTAGCACAGACAAAAATTTACCATCACAATAATGAGATCTAGACACAATACAGAATATACCAGTTCTTGTGTATTTGACTGAATGCTGATGAGCAGCAATTAGATAACAAGTGGCGTTTATGTGGTCTCCTATTTCTTTGCGTTTCCTTTTCTTAGACTTTACCCTTCGATCATTCCTCCTTCTCATCATCTATTTCTTTGCACTCTCTTTTCTCCCTGACACCTTGGGAATATAGAGACCCAGAAGCAGTTCCAAAGTCCCAGAAATGACTAAAATTCAGAATTTAATCCATTATGGTTAGTAATATATACATTACATTCAGCTTCTTAAATTTCCAGCCTCATCCACTTACTAACATAACCCAAAGGTGGCCTTCAGGTGACCTTACCCAGGAAGTGTTTTTAATTTTACCCATGTGGAACAAAAAAAAAAAAAAGACCTTATAAGCTGGGGTGAAAATTGCCGGGGGGGATTATACATTGTACGAGGTACTGCATAAAGGACTCACCTCTGCCATTGCGCTGGCTTGAACCTGGGTGGCAAGATCCTGATATAATACAGGTGCACGATGGAGGGGAGCGAGCGGATGAGTAGGTTGTCTTGGTGATGCCTCTGCTGCTGAACTTGCAGCAGGTGGTTGGTTTATATTTGGGTCTAAAAAAAGAAGGATGAATGGTTATATCTAGCCAATCTCTTGGCACATTTTCCAATTGACAAACTGAAATACGTTTTATTATTGCGGCTAACCATCTTATCAGGGAATAATCTGCTCATAGTGCTCTCATGGTGGGAATACATTCCTGTTCACATCTATGTGTTTTCCAGTCCTTGCTCACCTACAGGAATAATCATTTAAAAGGTGGAAACATTCTGAGTATACAACTGCTGATTACACTGATGGGTATTGCATTACACTCCAAAAAAAAAATGGGAGTCCAAACTCTTTTTTTTATCTTTTATTAAATTTTTCCCAATACAAAAAAGTACATCCAAAACACAAAAGTAGAAAATAGAAACTACACCAAAACATATAAATCGTCTAAATCCAACACTCCCTCCAAGAATGTTACTGGGGTTTTTTTTCAGCCAGTAGATATTTACTAGTGTAAATTCAGGTCCTTGTATTTTACCCTTGAAAAAAATCAGCCCCCTGGATCCTCCATTCTTCCCTCCAGAGTAAAGCTCACATTTTTTGACACCGCAGTCGCTACCCCTTTAGCCCTTTTAACTGGAGAGTATACATAGTACTACGTTGCTTCGAGTATAACTTCACATTTGAATCAAGGGTTATATGTGTCTCTTGAAGAAGCACTATAGCTATGGAATGTTGGTAAATTTCCCTCAATATCTTATGTCTTTTTGTAGGGAAGTTTAACCCTTTCACATTAATAAGTCATAAACTTAATGACACTCATTTCAACTATTGTTTCCCTGTCCTACCAGAGTTCCCATTCACTAGGATGCAGATACAGACATTTTAAGATATGGACTTTCTCCCTTCTCTCCCTCCAACAATTTCCCGATTTCTTCCTGCTCCCCCCCCCCCCCCCCCCCCTTTTCACTAACCCTCCCTTCCCATTCACTCTCTTTTCCCATCCCTAAACCCTACCCGGCCTATATATAACCCTGGAATCTGTCGTGGAAAATTCCCACTAGCTATTTCTAATTGGGGGTGAAACTCAAAATACGCACGCCAACCCCAATCCTTGACTCATGTCATCCCTCAGGTTGGGGTTGACAGCATGCTTGGCCTCCGGCCCACCCGCCAGATCCACAATCTCACTGCCCCTCAGTCCCTCCCACCTTTTTACCCTTTGACCATCCTACAAGGTCCATTTTCTGTAAATCTAATTTCTCACAAAAGTCATTAAAATCTTCTAAGAACCTCAGCCTTGCCGAATTTCCATCCAATCTATAGAATTCTTCACCATCCGAATAGGCTCCACCGTTCAACCAGGAGAAAGAAATCTCAAATAGTGTAATATTGCCAAATAATAGTAAAATTTCAAAGCAGAGATTAAGGCCACTCACATGTCAGCAACTCGTAAAAGGCACATTTATTGAATATAATAGCCTCCAGATAAAACATGAGCGTTTTAGCAGCCTCCTTATTCCAGGAATCTCACATCAGCCACAGGATAGAGCAGAGAATCCATACAGACCAACACAGCTCCCAAAGATGGCCGCTGGAACGCACCGCTCAACGTGCGCTCCACTCACCGGAAGTGACATCAGACGTACGGGGTATGGACCGGAAATGCGTCAATCTTTCTCCTGGTTGAACGCTGGAGCCTATTCGGATGGTGAAGAATTCTATAGAGTGGATGCTAAAGAGGGTTTAGGATCCCTTTAAAATTCCTTAAAGGCTTCTCACTCACCAAGTTCTGGTGAGTGCATTTGATGTACCTAAGTTGATCAATCAATCAACTTGGGTACAAACAGCCTGCCGGATTTCACATTCGATTATTGCTAGTGGTGTTTATAGCTTATACCAATAATGACTGTGTTGTCCCAGTAAGGATGGCCCCCCCACCAGGAGAACACAATAGCTCTGTGGGAGAGATTTACCTGTCAACACTGTCTGGTGCAGGAAAGAAATTTGCTTTGTCTATGGCCTGCCTAATAGCCATGCTACTGCAGATTAGAGTTAGATTATTATTATTAAAGGCTTACCTGTAGGTAAAAGGTGCAAAATAAAGTTTACTTCCACTTTAATAATGAACATTAGTACATATCAGTAGCAGCACTGCAATTGTCTACTGATTGCCATACATGACTTTGAATTTGCTATTACTTCATTGACATTAAAAAAAAAACAAAAAAAAACCTATTATCTGACTTCATAGTTTCACTAACATTGATATTTAAAGGGTAAGTCAACCCAGAAAATGATACTTCAATTACAGGAGAACTCTGCTTGGCTCAGTCACTCATTGGTTTTCTTTTTTACCTCAAGAGAGCTTCAATGATAATCTCTCAATTCTATATTTTTTTTATTTCTGTTTCTGGCCAACCTTTGTGGGTGTTCCTGCTTATCATTCTGCATTATCCATAAAATAAATACATTGAACATTCAAGTAGTTCAGGAGATAGGGACCCCATATGGCCATTCAGACTCAGTAGCAGAGATACTACCAGTGTATTCCAGATATAAGGTATAGATTAAATTGGAACCAAAAGCACTATATTAAAAGAAAAAAAAAACACATTGTTATACACTCACTGACCTGTTTATTAGGTACACCTGTTCAATTGTTTGGTAACACAAATTGCTAATCAGCCAATCACATGACAGCAACTCAATGCATTTAGGCATCTAGACGTACTGAAGACAACTTGCCAAAGTTCAAACCAAGCATCAGAATGGGAAAGAAAGGGGATTTAAGTGACTTTGAACGTGGAATGGTTGTTGGTGCCAGACGGGCTGGTCTGAGTATTTCAAAAACTGTTGATGACTGGGGTTTTCACGCACAACCACCTCTAGGGTTTACAGAGAAAAAGATGGTCCGAAAAAAAAGAGAACATATCCAGTGAGCGGCAGTTATGTTGATGAAAATGCCTTGTTCATGTCAGAGGAGAATGGGCAAATTGGTCTGAGATGATAGAAAGGTAACAGTAACTCAAATAACCACTTGTTACAAGAAATTATAATCAGTTTCAGTGTATTCCCGAGGATGTGCGTGTGCACAAAATGCATTGAGTGGAGCCTACGTTCTGATGTCCTGATTCCCAGATCAGCAGCCATTTTGGCAGGTCCGGCGCAATTATTTGTTGATTTTCCACGCGGAAGATGTTTAAGGCTTGTTTTTAATGTAACTTTTTTAATATTAAATACTACACTATACATGATCCTTTGGGCTCCATGTGGTGAGCACTTCTCTTTAGGCTCCGGATTGTACGATCAGCATTATGGAGGAGTGAGAGACAGAGGTTCCCTATTTGTACTGCAGGCCTTCTGGTGAGTGCATGGTGGTAGGAGACCCTGCACTGCTTGGAATTATTTCATCATTATATTTACTGTCACTAGAAGGACTTGTTATATCACTGCATGTGGCACTTTAATGAGCACAATTTGTATTCTAATATAGATTTATAGTATTTTATTTATTTATTGATTTTGATAGTCACATATTTATATGTATATTGTGGATACAGGTTTCATGCACTGCACTGTTGAGGCTACAATTCACATAGGCTCACAATATAAGGTTGAAAAAACGTTGATGAGTCTCGATTTGCCATGGCCTACCTGAGTATTATTGCTGACCATGTCAGTCCCTTTATTACTACAGTGTACCCATCTTCTGATGGCTACTTCCAGCAGTATAATGCACCATGTCACAAAGCTTGTCATGTTTCACATGACTGTCATATGCCTTTAAGTGTTCTTTGTATTTTGTCTCTGCTCCTCCCTTTCCTCTGGTTTAGTTCTTGCTGTATAGATAGCCCCACCCCTTTATCCAGTAAGGCATTTCAGCTTCAAGACTCATGTCATAAAGCAGATCACATTATGATCTTTTGACCTATCCGATGTTCATTGTCGTAAGATTCTCTCAGTTTATGGAATAAACTTCACAAGATCTACAAGATGTCATGTGGATTGAGTCAATGCCTGTGTTATTTAACTAAGATCTCTATCTCATCACTGCTATATCATCATCAATGCTTAGATTGGAGAAACAGAACAGTCAAAAGATCAGTGAAATGTCTTCATAGGATCCTTGCTAGCTTTGGATACACAGTGAGATGTTATATGGACTGGATAAAGCAGCTAACAGAGTGCAGCCATTTCTACACAAGCCTGTACATGTCTGCAAGTATGTCTCAGCATAACACTCATCAGTGTCAGGACAAATTATTGATGTAAATGTCTTACAACTGCAAGTTTATACACTGCATCTGTATGTATTAGCACATGGCTTGTCTGTGAAATGTTAGAAAATTAAAGAAAACTTTTCTGCAACTATTGCCTAGGAAACCTGAGCTCACCCACAGAAAAATTGATACATTTCTCTGTAAACTTTCTATCAACCTCTCTCCTTACTAACATGATGTTTCAGGAAAGTAATATACAGTCTGGGGAAACTAATATACAACCACAATCAGAGCTTCATCCAGAGCAGGACTTGGATAAAAGAGAAAAATGCTTAATCAAACCAACCTGGAAGGTGCAAGAGAACCTTAATGCTGACGACAAGGAAGGATTGCTGTCTAATATTAATGACTTATGGTCTAATACTGTTAAATGCATGTCTGCTCTCTCCCAACAATCTCATGAGCCAATACAATCTCATGAGCCATGAGCCAGAGACAACAGTTCCAGACACTCAGTTGTATCTTATGTCTCTTCACACACATCTCCAGAACGTCAACTCCCTGTGACAGCAGCCAAACTACTCAATCAAAGTCTCTTCTCTGCACCTACTGTACCGCAAGACGATTTTCCCTTATATCCTTCAACACATCAGACTGCAGCATCTCAGTTAGCCGCAGGCATTGGTGTGTATTTAATAGACCTTATACATATATATAGTGCAGCGCTGTAATGTGATAAAATTAGTATAAATTCGTTCATAAAGTCTTTCTTGCAATAATAAAACCAAATATGTGCAGGCCTTCTCCTCATTAGGTGACTGGAATCAAATAGCAGAAAT